TATGACGTAGCATCACTGCCAAGTCCAAGAAAGACGAAACAGCTGTATGACGTAGCATCACTGACAAGTCCAAGAAGGACGAAACAGCTGTATGACGTAGCATCACTGACAAGTCCAAGAAGGACGAAACAGCTGTATGATGTAGCATCACTGACAAGTCCAAGAAGGACGAAACAGCTGTATGACGTAGCATCACTGACAAGTCCAAGAAGGACGAAACAGCTGTATGACGTAGCATCACTGACAAGTCCAAGAAGGACGAAACAGCTGTATGACGTAGCATCACTGACAAGTCCAAGAAGGACGAAACAGCTGTATGACGTAGCATCACTGACAAGTCCAAGAAGGACGAAACAGCTGTATGACGTAGCATCACTGACAAGTCCAAGAAGGACGAAACAGCTGTATGACGTAGCATCACTGACAAGTCCTAGAAGGACGAAACAGCTGTATGATGTAGCATCACTGACAAGTCCAAGAAGGATGAAACAGCTGTATGAGGCAATTCTTTTTTTTGCTCGACCATATCTAATTCTTACTTTGTATTGAAAGGTACTATTTGTCTTTTGTACAATTTCACAGAGCTTGAAAAACATAAATCCATTCATAAATCTATTCAAAGTTTCTATAAATTAATATTTTCATTTTCTTTTTGGTGTCTCCTCTATTTCTTTCTTGTTTTTCCTTTTCAGTCTATTTTTGCTGTTAATTTTCTCCCCTTGATGTCTCATCAGTTTCTGCCATCTTCCCTTCTCAATTTCTTCTGTTGTCTTAATTTGAGTAATTTACCTTGTCCTTAGTCTCTAATGTTGTCTTTTCTTTTTATACGTGTCCTAAGTATAAACTGTTATCTGTTCTTTTTGGCATGTCCTAATTTTCTTCTTTTGTCTTTTCTTTTTTCTTTTTTTTCCTATTTAACGGTTCATGGACGTATGACTTTACTAATTTAACGGTTCATGGACGTATGACTTTACTAATTTAACGGTTCATGGATGTATGACTTTACTAATTTAACGGTTCATGGATGTATGACTTCAAGGGAAGAGAAATCAACCCATGTAAATCCCAACAAAAATTAATAATTTAACAGTATGTCAACTTTTTAAAATTTTTCGTTTTTAAACAAAATATCCAAATAATACAAATATTGTTTTATTTTCATTAAATGTATTCTTGGTTTTCCTCTCCTAAAAAGTTTTAAAATTGCTGAATTACAATTTTCCTTTTTTTTATTTAACCCTGGCTGTATATCAGATAACTGACATATAGGCTGTGGTCTCTCACCCTTCTGAATGACAATAACACTTGTTGTTAACTGTTGAAGTTGCTGACGTCTTTTCCGCCTATGTACCAACCAATCATGGACATGATACTGTATAACTGCTGCAGCAGCCAACCGTTTCTCCATCCATGGGTGTGTGTATTTACGAACCAGAAAACCCTTCACCACTACAGAAAGGTCAAGTTATTTTCCAAAAACATCAAGCAAGAATTAATTAAACATGTTATAGATTGTTCATGCAAAACCAAACCAACAAAATTGTGCTCAATAAATAAATCAGTTCATGTTAATTGTTTGATTATATGCTTTAAAACAAGAATAATCTTAACAAGGTCACTACGAGTACTCAAGGTCAATACGAGTACTCAAGGTCACTACGAGTACTCAAGGTCAATACGAGTACTCAAGGTCACTACGAGTACTCAAGGTCAATACGAGTACTCAAGGTCACTACGAGTACTCAAGGTCACTATGAGTTCTCAAGGTCACTATGGATACTCAAGGTCACTATGAGTTCTCAAGGTCACTATGGATACTCAAGGTCACTACGAGTACTCGTATTGATAAGACCTGCAAAAAGAAGTATTGATGTTATAAAACACAACAAAGAAAAATACTTCAGCCAAAATCACAGTTTAAAACATACTTCTTGTTACCTAAGGTAAGAAAATAAAAGGATGTTGTGAAAATAAATCTGTGTTTTACCTGTAAAATAAACCTTATAACAGAAAACTACAAATATAAATCAATGTATTTCCACCAAACATCTGTGTATTCTTCTAATTACCAGAGTTTGATGTCAACATTACGAAAAAGGTTTCTCTTTCCCTGCGACTCTTCCATCAACCTGATAACTTGCCCAATAACTTACCTGTTAACCCTGTAACTGATTCCCTCCCTCATAACTCACCTCTCAACCCTGTAACTCATTCCCTCCCTCATAACTTACCTCTCAACCCTGTAACTGATTCCCTTCCTCATAACTCACCTCTCAACCCTGTAACTTGGTCCCTCCCTCATAACTGACCTCTCAACCCTGTAACTGATTCCCTCCCTCATAACTCACCTCTCAACCCTGTAACTTGGTCCCTCCCTCATAACTGACCTCTCAACCCTGTAACTGATTCCCTCCCTCATAACTGACCTCTCAACTCTGTAACTCATTCCCTTCCTCATAACTCAACTCTGTAACTGATTCCCTTCCTCATAACTGACCTCTCAACCCTGTAACTGATTCCCTCCCTCATAACTGACCTCTCAACTCTGTAACTCATTCCCTTCCTCATAACTCAACTCTGTAACTGATTCCCTTCCTCATAACTCACCTCTCAACCCTGTAACTCATTCCCTCCCTCATAACTCACCTCTCAACCCTGTAACTGATTCCCTCCCTCATAACTGACCTCTCAACTCTGTAACTCATTCCCTTCCTCATAACTCAACTCTGTAACTGATTCCCTTCCTCATAACTCACCTCTCAACTCTGTAACTGATTCCCTTCCTCATAGCTCATCTCTCAACCCTGTAACTCATTCCCTTCCTCATAACTCACCTCTCAACCCTGTAACTGATTCCCTTCCTCATAACTCACCTCTCAACCCTGTAACTCATTCCTTTCCTCATAACTCACCTCTCAACCCTGTAACTCATTCCCTTCCTCATAACTCACCTCTCAACTCTGTAACTCACTCAATCCCTCATAACTCACTTCTCAACCCTGTAACTCATTCCCTCCCTCATAACTCACCTCTCAACTCTGTAACTCACTCAATCCCTCATAACTCACCTCTCAACCCTGTAACTCATTCCCTTCCTCATAACTCAACTCTGTAACTCACTCAATCCCTCATAACTCACTTCTCAACTCTGTAACTCATTCCCTTCCTCATAACTCACCTCTCAACTCTGTAACTCACTCAATCCCTCATAACTCACTTCTCAACCCTGTAACTCATTCCCTCCCTCATAACTCACCTCTCAACCCTGTAACTCATTCCCTTCCTCATAACTCAACTCTGTAACTGATTCCCTTCCTCATAACTCACCTCTCAACCCTGTAACTCATTCCCTTCCTCATAACTCAACTCTGTAACTGATTCCCTTCCTCATAACTCACCTCTCAACCCTGTAACTCATTCCCTCCCTCATAACTCACCTCTCAACCCTGTAACTCATTCCCTTCCTCATAACTCAACTCTGTAACTGATTCCCTTCCTCATAACTCACCTCTCAACCCTGTAACTCATTCCCTTCCTCATAACTCAACTCTGTAACTGATTCCCTTCCTCATAACTCACCTCTCAACCCTGTAACTCATTCCCTCCCTCATAACTCCTCAACCCTGTAACTCATTCCCTTCCTCATAACTCACCTCTCAACCCTGTAACTCATTCCCTTCCTCATAACTCACCTCTCAACTCTGTAACTGATTCCCTTCCTCATAGCTCATCTCTCAACTCTGTAACTGATTCCCTTCCTCATAACTCATCTCTCAACTCTGTAACTGATTCCCTTCCTCATAACTCATCTCTCAACTCTGTAACTGATTCCCTTCCTCATAACTCATCTCTCAACTCTGTAACTGATTCCCTTCCTCATAACTCATCTCTCAACTCTGTAACTGATTCCCTTCCTCATAACTCATCTCTCAACTCTGTAACTGATTCCCTTCCTCATAACTCATCTCTCAACTCTGTAACTGATTCCCTTCCTCATAACTCATCTCTCAACTCTGTAACTGATTCCCTTCCTCATAACTCATCTCTCAACTCTGTAACTGATTCCCTTCCTCATAACTCATCTCTCAACTCTGTAACTCATTCCCTTCTTCATAACTCACCTCTCAACTCTGTAACTGATTCCCTTCCTCATAGCTCATCTCTCAACTCTGTAACTCATTCCCTTCTTCATAACTCACCTCTCAACTCTGTAACTGATTCCCTTCCTCATAGCTCATCTCTCAACTCTGTAACTCATTCCCTTCTTCATAACTCACCTCTCAACTCTGTAAATGATTCCCTTCCTCATAACTCACCTCTCAACTCTGTAACTCATTCCCTTCCTCATAACTCACCTCTCAACTCTGTAACTCATTCCCTTCCTCATAACTCACCTCTCAACTCTGTAACTGATTCCCTTCCTCATAGCTCATCTCTCAACTCTGTAACTCATTCCCTTCTTCATAACTCACCTCTCAACTCTGTAACTCATTCCCTTCCTCATAACTCACCTCTCAACTCTGTAACTGATTCCCTTCCTCATAACTCACCTCTCAACTCTGTAACTGATTCCCTTCCTCATAACTCACCTCTCAACTCTGTAACTCATTCCCTTCTTCATAACTCACCTCTCAACTCTGTAACTCATTCCCTTCTTCATAACTCACCTCTCAACTCTGTAACTCATTCCCTTCCTCATAACTCACCTCTCAACTCTGTAACTGATTCCCTTCCTCATAACTCACCTCTCAACTCTGTAACTGATTCCCTTCCTCATAACTCACCTCTCAACTCTGTAACTGATTCCCTTCCTCATAACTCACCTCTCAACTCTGTAACTGATTCCCTTCCTCATAGCTCATCTCTCAACCCTGTAACTGATTCCCTTCCTCATAACTCACCTTTCAACCCTGTAACTTGGTCCCTTCTTTGTAACTCCCCCTCTCCTTTGAAAATCACTCCTTCTAATATAACCAAGATACCCTATATTACTTCCCTACCTCTCTGTATTACAACAGCACTCCTCTCTCTTTTCTCCTGAACTGACTTTTGTTCTCGTAATGATTTCCGCACCAGGTGGCCACGTATCTGTGACTGTATCAATACAGTTGCCTTTCGTCGTTTCTCAATCACTGGACGAGTCTTTCTACGCACAAGAAATCCTTTTATTGCTGAAAATGGAGGTGAGGGTAGAAAACAATATATAATGCACAACATGTGATAAAATCAGAAACAAAATAAAAGTGCAGTTTCAATTCAAATTATATCAAATCATTTGAAAAGGGATTTATCTTTAAAAAAATTGGTGACAAAGGTGGACATGTAGTCAATAGGCAGATATATATAACTGAAATGTGACCATAATACCCATGCAACAGTGACCTAGATTTTCAGGGTTAAATATGAGTCAGTGACCTAGTTTTGTAGGATACAAACCTGTTTGAATAGCAACTGCTGCTCCTTTCCTCAGTTTAAACTCTTTCTGAAATTTTCTTTTGGCCACAAAACCACGGTAATCTATAAATAAACATTGAGAAGAAATCAGTAGAAATATTTTGACAAAATCACATCATTTGAGCAAAAGTATCACATGACTTTTGAGACAATGTCACATGATTTGAGAGAAAGTGACGCATGACATTTGAGAGTTTATCACATGATATAAAAGTGCCACATGACTTACGTGATTGTATGAGTGTGGCTGCTTTATCGCGCTGCCATTTTGTCTGAAAAAAGCGAGTACGGGCATGCCAGCCCCGAATGACCGACTGAAGAGTAACCACTTTTCTGTGATATGCCTCATATTTCCTGGCCAGCTGCTCAATGTGATAGTACTTCAGGAATACCTGTAGAATCAATTTGTAGACAGTCACATTTTAGTCACACAAAAATCATTTAATGCTCACAAAAGTGACACATCATACTCACACCAAAGTCACATTATGGTCACATCAATGTCTTATCATTGTCACATGAAAATCATAACTACATCTATGTCACATCATCATTAGAGCTAAATTTGATTCACTGTCTTTAGACAGAAATAGAATGTTGGCCTTGACATCAGAATTATCCTATACTTACTTATTTAATTTTGATTTTTCGTGTTTGTATGGTCATAACAAATTATTTACTGGTCAATAAAATTAATATTTGACCTTGACTTTCAACCCATCAACAATGACTTTAGCTGAAATTCTCATTTGATGTATTATGTTACCAGAAATATTTACCAGTTCAGAGATGTGACCTTGACATTAAATCCTTTGTCCTTGACCTTTCATCAAACTGTTCATGATATGAATTTGATGAACTTGGCTACATGATGTCATATGAAAGTTTTTATCAGTAAAATGTTAACACTTTGACATTGAACTTTGACCTGGTGACCCTGATCCAAAAAGTGAGGTGACTTCTCATTAGAACTTAGAATCAATGTTGCTTAATAATGTCATATCCATATCATAACAAGTAAAATATTTAATATTTGACCTTGACCATTGACCGCATTACCTTGACCTCTAGTCAGGCAACATTTCATTTGATTTCAGTCCTTGACCTTAGGAACATTAAACTTCTATTGCACATCTACACTTCTAAGTGAATCAGAGAAATTTCAGCAAGTTTGGCTCTCTGAAATTTGTGATAACATACTAATGCAAAAGTGCTCAGGAAAATAATGATATAGCAGATAAATGTGATAAAGGGAGGTAATCCTGGTTAACTCAGTTTCCTTGATTAAGATACTTACTTTAGTTTTCCCGAGAGCAAAGTGGTCCATGCCCAGTCTGTCCAGGAGAGTGTAGCAACTGTCACGTGTGTGGGGCACACGTTCATCCCACAGGAACGACAACATGTGGTACCTAATAACAAGGTCCATGATTAAAATACCAAATAAAATGTCAGAGTGAACCATCTAGTCACTTGTTACTGACTCAGCTAGGGGTATGTCACAGTGGTGAACCATCTAGTCACTTGTTACTGTCTCAGCTAGATGTATGTCACTGTGGTGAACCATCTAGTCACTTGTCACTGACTCAGCTAGGGGTATGTCACTGTTTTGAACCATCTAGTCACTTGTCATTGACTCAGCTAGGGTTATGTCACAGTGGTGAACCATCTAGTCACTTGTTACTGTCTCAGCTAGGGGTATGTCACTATGGTGAACCATCTAGTCACTTGTTTCGGACTCAGCTAGGGGTATGTCATTGTGGTGAACCATCTAGTCACTTGTCACTGACTCAGCTAGGGGTATGTCACAGTGGTGAACCATTTAGTCACTTGTTACTGTCTCAGCTAGGGGTATGTCACAGTGGTGAACCATCTAGTCACTTGTTACTGTCTCAGCTAGGGGTATGTCACAGTGGTGAACAATCTAGTCACTTGTCACTGACTCAGCTAGGAGTATGTCACAGTGGTGAACCATCTAGTCACTTGTTACTGTCTCAGCTAGGGGTATGTCACTATGGTGTACCATCTAGTCACTTGTTTCTGACTCAGCTAGGGGTATGTCACAGTGGTGAACCATCTAGTCACTTGTTACTGTCTCAGCTAGGAGTATGTCACAGTGGTGAACCATCTTGTCACTTGGTACTGTCTCAGCTAGGGGTATGTCACTATGGTGAACCATCTAGTCACTTGTTTCTGACTCAGCTAGGGGTATGTCACAGTGGTGAACCATCTAGTCACTTGTTACTGACTCAGCTAGGGGTATGTCACAGTGGTGAACCATCCAGTCACTTGTTACTGTCTCAGCTAGATATATGTCACAGTGGTGAATCATCTAGTCACTTGTCACTGACTCAGCTAGGGGTATGTCACTGTGGTGAACCATCTAGTCACTTGTTACTGACTCAGCTAGGGGTATGTCACAGTGGTGAACCATCCAGTCACTTGTTACTCTCTCAGCTAGATATATGTCACAGTGGTGAATCATCTAGTGACCTGTCACTGACTCAGCTAGGCGTATGTCACAGTGGTGAACCATCCAGTCACTTGTTACTCTCTCAGCTAGATATATGTCACAGTGGTGAACCATCTAGTCACCTGTCACTGACTCAGCTAGGGGTATGTCATAGTGGTGAACCATCTAGTCACTTGTTACTGACTCAGCTAGGGGTATGTCACAATGGTGAACCATCTAGTCACTTGTTACTGATGACAGCTTTATAACTATTTACAGGTGGAAGTTTTGACAAATGAAATAGTACTCACCTACGTAGGAAATCTGCAAATGGTATTCGATGGGAGAAGCCCTCCCTTCGTATCCTTGTTGTTTCTAAGACTCCTGTGTATCGTAGTTGTATTGTAACTTTCTCAGAGTCAAACTCATCTGGGTGTTTGTTCGCATTGGGTCGTATACATCTGCAGATTATACAATGTAAATTCATTAAAAAAATTACTTCTCTCTAATGCGTGAAAAAACACCCATTACAAAACTACGGTGTTATCAGTGTAACAACTAACATAAGAATAATATCAATTTCAGTTTTTATATCAAATGAATTTAATTTTCTCTTTACATGAATATTTCATTTTACTTTTTCCAAAATTATTGAAAAATTCTTTCAGAAATCTCATATGGATTTGAAATGTGTATAATCCACTCTATAACACATTGAAATGAGGAATCTATCACTTAATATCAGCATGTTTTTAATATATTTGTCATTCTCATTCTCCATCAGAGAAAATCTGCGAATTGTATTTTAGATTTATGGCAAAGGGAGAAAACTCTACCTGACAAAGTGAGGTGTGCCTGCCACCATCTTGGCTAGAAGATCCATCAGAGAAAATCGGAAGTAGGTTGCCACAGTCTGTTGAATCCTAGTCATACTAGCAGATGCTGACCCCTATCAAAATCAACAGTACTGAGCATTAATATTCCTCAAAATCTGTGGGATACAAAATATTCATCTAAACATCTGTATTTTTCAAACAAAAGGTCCATTGGGCCCAAGCATTCATCTGATAAGAAAGTCCAATAAAAGATAGAACAGCAATACAGATAACATAAATAATTATTAAATAATTTGAAAAAATCTGAATTTCAGCAGTAAATATAACAAATAGAGGTCATGGGGAACTTGTTGGAAAATTTGAACCAAGCTAGGATTCGTAGTAACATATTCTTCCAGCGGCTGCAACAACAGGCTGAAATCCTATGTTACGTTTACTCTATAAACAACACTTCTCTTTTCAGTTTCTCAACATTTCCTTCAAATTTTAGCTTAATGGCACGAGTGGGATATTTTCTTTTTTCAAGTTGTATCCATATTGAATTTCAGACTGACCCACTAAATAATTGCATTTTGTCAGAATCATTTGAAATATGTTCCAATCAATGTATCCAATCACAGAACATCACTGAGAGGTTAAAAATAAATGTTTTTCAGGAAAACCATGATAGAGCTATTATTTTACAAAATGGCTACTATGGCTGCCATGTCTAAGTTTTAATGTGGCCAAAAACAACAATATTTATACAAACTTGGTTCCCCTGATCCCAATGATGCTTCAGACAAAATTTGGTCAAAATCTTTTCAGTTGCTTTTGACTTAAGTTGTGATTTTTATTAAAAAGATGCTGGATGCCAGATGCTGGACACTTTCCTTAAAATCCAAATTAATTGTCAAATTAATGGCACTAGTGGAACAAGAGAAGAAGTTCAATAAATATTTTCCAAAATATGGCGGCCATGAAAGCCATAATCAATTTTGGACAAACCCAGAAAATAACAGGGCAATCACAGGATCATTTCAGGCAAATTGATGCTGAATCTCACTTTTGAAATTGAATGAGAACTTCAAAAAATGAAATGATAGTGTCTGATGCATGACAATGAATGAAACCTATTAATTATATTTAATCCTGATTCTTTTGAGTCAGAAGAACTAAGAAAGGACTGAAAATGTTCCTATTACACTGTAGCTGGTAGAAGCAAAATAAATTTCAGTAATTGTAGTAAATTATCTCATAAACATCCATCTTAGCATTCCTAAGACCATTTATTTGAATTATTTACTCTCAGAATGCCACTGTCGAATAATTGTCCATGTCAAGATCTTTATACAATAAAACAAAGGGAAACCACTCAGTATATTTCTGTCTACTGAAAAGACATATTGAAAAGATGGGTTACAAGCTAATATGTTACTAATATCACTGTATCTTCTGAAACAGTTTTTAACATTTCCATATTTATCATGCTGGCTGAACTTCAAGATGTATAAAAGCAAATGAAATATTGATGTGTCAACAGAATCTTAATTCTCTCTAACAATTAATGAAAGACAGGCAAAATCTGAGGAAAAAATAGATGTGAACAGAGACTCCTGAAAAACCATACAAGGAATATAGATACTCACAAATTATCAAAACTATTTAACTGTATGTAATGCATTTTTAAGAATCAGTTAATGAAAGCTGTTAGTATAGATATGACAAATGTTAAAAATATGGATATTAACTTGATATCAAACCTGATCAAGGAACATGATGTAACATGACAAATTTTGTATAAATTTACAGAGTTATCTCCCTTTGTTAAAATTTCATTTTGAGTTAATACAATGAATAGTAACACAATAGGATACAGGATATTGGTATTTTTCTGTTTTGATTTATAATCAAAATCTTGAAAGGTGATAGAAACTGGACATTTCAAATAGATTTTGAGAAAGAAAAAGCTATGGAAGATAATTATGTTAGATCTGTCACTTTCACATTCATCAACAAACAATTTGATCAAAATTTCAAAACATTATGACAAATGAAAGTATTATATCTGTTGTAAGATAAGAAAGTTCCACAGCAAATACAGGAATATAATTGTAACAGGCATCCAAAGGCTCCATTCCCAGAGAATAATTAATGTAATCAATACAGCAACATTACCATATTTTAATTTAAAATTTTTTTTTTTTTTAATTTTGCTCAACGCATTATTTTTCTAGTTTTATAGTCTGATTAGAATCTTTGTCTGCTATCTTGAACAAACATCTTTGTATTCCTGGAGAGTCAATTTGACTACAGTAAACACTAGAGTCAGTATGATCATATCAAAGATTTTTTTCAAATGCATTTGTCTTTTTCAATATTTTTGAGGATGGAATAAATTCCAATGAATACAACAAAAAAATACGAAACTGACAGAAAAAACTTACTCAGAATCTGTTTTACGATTTCTATAAAAAATATGAACTTTTGAACTTTCTGTAAAATAATAAAAATTTGAACCAATGAAAATGACATGTGAAGAATCACTGCAGCTGAGAGAAACAAAAAATTATGAAAATAGTTCTGATAGTTAACTATATAAAATATTTAATTAGCAAATGTGAAATTTAATTACTAATAAAGACCAATATCTAGGACAATACTGAAAACTTAAGGTTCCATAACACCCACATCAACACAACAATTACTGAACCCATAACAACAGTTTTACAGGGAAAACAAAGGGAGACATTCTAGTATAACATAGATCATCAGAGAGAAAGTGCTGAGCTTTTGATGTAGACAGAACCAAACAAAATCTAGGAACAACGACAGCTCAGACTTAACAACTATGATCATACAATCTGCCAAATTCTAAAATGATGTCAGGCCTGAAAAATTCTGTCCCTGTTGCCAGGGCAACTGGATAAACAATTGTTAGTCTGAGTACAGCTAAATAGAGATGTAACAGTTTCTGTTACCCTCCTACTAAATGTTTATTTTGATAGTCCAAAATTCTTACCAACATATTCAACAGATAAAGAGAATATCAAACTAGTTTTGATTACTTTACACTCCAACAGATAAAGAGAATATCAAACTAGTTTTGATTACTTTACACTCCAACAGATAAAGAGAATATCAAACTAGTTTTGATTACTTTACACTCCAACAGATAAAGAGAATATCAAACAAGTCTTCATTACTTTACACTCCAACAGATAAAGAGAATATCAAACTAGCTTTGATTACTTTACACTCCAACAGATAAAGAGAATATCAAACTAGCTTTGATTACTTTACACTCCAACAGATAAAGAGAATATCAAACTAGTTTTGATTACTTTACACTCCAACAGATAAAGAGAATATCAAACTAGTTTTGATTACTTTACACTCCAACAGATAAAGAGAATATCAAACTAGCTTTGATTACTTTACACTCCAACAGATAAAGAGAATATCAAACTAGTTTTCATTACTTTCGACTTTTATGAAAAAAAACCCAGTGAAATCCTGAATATCATATAAAGATATGTCATTTGTATTTTAAATATAGATAGCTATCATAAGATATGTTTTCTAGATATAGATTGCTATCATACAATCTGTAATATAGGTAGATAGCAAACAAAATATTTTCTAAATACTGGTAGTTATAATACAATTTGTATTAAAAATACTGGTAGTTATAATACGATTTGTATCCTAAATACTGGTAGTTATAATACGATTTGTATCCTAAATACTGGTAGTTATAATACAATTTGTATTCTAAATACTGGTAGTTATAATACGATTTGTATCCTAAATACTGGTAGTTATAATACGATTTGTATTCTAAATACTGGTAGTTATAATACGATTTGTATCCCAAATACTGGTAGTTACAATACGATTTGTATTCTAAATACTGGTAGTTATAATACAATTTGTATTCTAAATACTGGTAGTTATAATACGATTTGTATTCTAAATACTGGCAGTTATAATACGATTTGTATTCTAAATACTAGCAACTATATACTGGTAATACAATATGAATTCTAAACACTAGAATCTATTACATAATTTGTACTCTAACAATACTAACACGAAAAAGAAACGCCGGGTACACTAAATATACTACAAATGATTTATTGCTTGGCCTAGAATAATGACACTCGGTCAGGTTGATGTGTTGTTCCCGGTCACTAGGTACACGTGTTTAAAATCACACAATACCTGACCTCCGCGCTCCGTGCGAGGCATGTGCTAAAATACAAGAATCCCGTGCAGGGGAAGGTCATTGAGTTCGCCAATGGAAATTTTCAGTCTATTTGATACTGTTCAAGTATTCGGATTGATTTTTCAAAGTTTGATTTGAATTAAGCAATTTACATCCATGCCACAATTGACGGAAGTCCAGCGGGGACAGGCTATAGGAATGCTTTTGCAGGGTCAGGGCCAACTTCAGGTTGCTGCACATTTTGGTGTGCATATTCGGACAATTCAACGTCTTGTCCAACGTGTGCGAGTGACGGGGAAGGTCATCGACCGACTGCGAAGTGGACGTCTGCGCGTCACGACGCCGCATCAGGATCGGTTTATAAGACTTTCTCACTTACGTAATTGCCATCTCACAGCTACCGAAACTGCAAATAACACTATAGGCAGTCATAACCTCCATATTCATCCTGATACGGTTCAAAACCGATTACGCGTCAATGGCCTAAAAGCCCGACGTCCCTATGTTGGTCTGCCCCTAACTCCTGCGCGTCGCCAACGCCAATTGGCTTGGTTACAAGCACACTCGCCCAGATATTTTCCTATGAGGCAATGGAGACGGGTATTCTTCACTGACGAATCCCGGTTCACTCTCTACCGTTCGGACGGGCGACGTCATGTATATCGACGTCGAGGCGAACGTTATACTGACGCGTTTGGCGGTGGTTCAATATGTGTTTTATATTGTAAGATCATTAGTAACAAAACACATATCAAGAGTGATGTTTCAGTTGGGTAAGGCCCTCTGACAATGCCCCGGGGTACCCTTTTGCACACAATGTCACTCTTTTTTCTTGGGGGAGGGGTGGGGGGAATCCTGTAAATGTGAATTGTGTACATGTGGTAACAGTGAGAATGGTGAGAGGTG